AATGGTGGAGTGACTAGCCCAAGGCCTCAGAGTGGTTGGGGATGGAGGCAGGTGCTCCCCTCTGCCTCGAATATAGGGAAAAAGAGGCACAAAATCAACTCTGCCTGGCAGGTAATTACTCATTGAACTGTGGGTTCTTGCACACGTCCTGCAGGCCTCTGTGAAGGGCTGCCACCCTCCCAGCCCTCCCAGTAAGACCTAACGTCAGCTCAGGTTGCAGGGCGTCTGCAGCCCCACACCCTTCAACAGTTAACGGTACCAGCTCCGGAGGCCCAGGCTTCTTTCCCGCCTGCACCTGCTCTGCGGCACCTCCAATAACATGCTCTCACAACTCGGGCCCAATCTCCTCAAGCCTGGAAGTTCAGTGCAGTCGTGGTTAAGAGCAGGGATCTAGGAGTCAGAACCTGGATTCAAGTCCTCCACTTATTAGCTTTTTGACATCAGTAAAGCTATGTCCATTTGTTCTACAATGACGTTATTGCCCTCCTTCACTGGGTGTTCCAGGCACTGGAGTGCAAGACACACGGCCTGGCTCTCATGGCCCTCATATTCTCCCTACGGAGTCAGACCATCAGCATATCAACAAGCAAACACAAGGAGAGAATTTCAGGGTGGGATACGTGTTTTGAAAGAGAGCAAGAAATGTGACTGAATGGGCGAGGCAGGGGCCAGACACAGAGGTCAGGGACAATCGAAGAGGAGATGACATGTGACCTGAGACCTGCCCCATGGGAAGGACCAGCTGCAGGAAGGGCAGGGAGAAGGCATTCCAGGCAGTGGGCACAGCAGTGCAAAGGCCCTGGGGCAAGGATGGGCTTGGCCTGTTTAAGAAACAGAAAGATAAGGCTTCTTCATGTGGAAAAAATATGGCTAATAAAAATATCCATCTCCTTAGGGTTGTTATGAAGTCTACATGAGATGGGTAGGGCCTGACAATAAACGTTAGCTATTTACTGCTAGAGTGCACAGTCCTATCTCTGTGGAACACAGTTGTTTTTCCTGTGTTTGGAAATGGCTCTTCTTGTTCCCTCTTTCTGGAATGCACTCCTACTCCTCCCCTCTCCTACTTCTGCCCTGCAAACCACTCGTGATCCTTGAACTCTCAGCTTCAATAAAGACTGGTCAATCTCTACAGTCATGACCCTGACTCAGCAGGTCATGTCCCGTGTGAGACCCTGCAGTGCCTTCCTGGGAGCAGACACGGAGACCCAGAGCACTAATCTGAAGGCTCTGGAAGGGCCTGGCCCCTGCCTCCAGCCTCATCTTGCTGTACACCCCACCTCCCCCAGCTGCACTGCCACAGCCTTTGCAGGTGTCCTGCATTCCACCTGGGCCACTCTGTCCCTCGCTGCCATCCTTTAGGTCTGACCTCAGACGTTACCTCCCTAACCCTCCCTCTCTGTACTGTATCTCATAACACCCTGTTCTTTCCTTCAAATGTGCATCTCACATTGTGATTACAGATGTATTTGATTATTGACTTAATGTCTGCCTTCCTACCACAGATGGAAAGTTCCAGAATAGGGGCTGCATCTGTTTTGTTTCCCCACTAGAACCTGGAACCCACCCAATAAATGTTTGCTGACTAACATCCCCGACATCCCCACCCTGTCTGGTGTCCCTCCCGCTGCTCAGTCCCATGCTCAGCCTCCTTTGCCAGCTCATCCTCTCCTATTTGGCCACTAGATGTTGTTGCTTCTCAGGGCTTGACCCAGGCTGTCCTCTCCCAGTAGCTCCCTCCCTAAGTGACCACACCCCTGCCCACATGCCCATGGCCTCAGATGACGCCCTAATATATACCTCTAGCCCCATGGTCTCCTCTGACCTCAGACCCGCATGCCCAAGGCCCCATGATGTCTGCTCCTGGACGTCTCAAGGCATCTGAATCTCAGCATATCCCACCTGAGCCCGTGACTGTCCCCTCGAACCTGAGTCAGTGCGGGGCTCCCCAGCTCACGGAAGAGCAGGCCGGCAGGACAGAGCCTCGTAGTGGGTCTCGGTGCCTCCCTCCACCTTTCTGCTTATATCCACCCACCACCAAGTACTGCTGACTTCACCCCCAAACATCACTCAGCTCCGTCGGTCTTTCCACACCCCTCCTGCCATCCCTGCTGCCTGCACACTGAGTAGCTTCTGAACTGTCTCCTTGCCTCCACTGGCCACTCTTGCTCCACTTGTGAGCTCATTCCAACGTGTTCTCCACGCAGCAGCCGCAGTGGCATTTTAGAAAGGCAGATATGATCATGTCACTGTCTCCTCCTTGAAACCCCTCAGCAGCTTCTCGTTGCTCTCAGAATAAAGCCATTTCCCCTCTGTGGCCTGGCAGCTCTGGTCCCCCCTCCCACTCCCTGCAATAAGGTTGAGTGCTGGGTAGGGTAGGAATCCATCCTAGGGTTCTGGAAGGGGGTAGGGAGGGAAAGCACAGCCCCAGGGCCTTTGGCAGGGTGACCGGGGACACCACAGGCCTTGCTCTAGGGTCTGATGGGTGCAGGCCAGAGTCTGAGCTGGCCCAGGGCTGAGCAATGCTTCCAACAAGCTCTTTCCACAGAGCCAGGCTCTTCAAATAGCCTTTGTCTTTATCTATCTAGAATGGTGGTTAGTCTTCCCTTCCCCTGGCCTTGGGGCAAGAACTCTCTGCTGGGGCCCTTGGTGACTCAAGTTCTATCCTCAACCTCAGTGGAAGCTTCTGGTTCTGACACCGCTGACCCCAGGAGGCCTCCCTCACTGAAAGACTGCCACAGAGGAGGGTCTGCATCTTTGCTGCAGTTCCCATGGGATCTCCAGGAAACCGAGGATTTGGTCAACCTCCATGGACAAACAGAATCTGGCAACTTCTCACCTGTCCACTGCTGTCTCCTGCTGCAAGCCCCCTCCTTTCCCTCCCGCAGCCTCCCTCAGCACAGCTGCTGGGTGATCCTTTCGCCGATGTAGCAGGGCAGGTCTCTGCTCTGCTGCAAATCCTCCCCATCACACTCTGTGTAAGAACCACAGTTCTTCAAACGCCCAGGGCCAACCTGAGTTGGCCTTCTTCCTTCTCTGGTCTCAGCTCCACCATGCTCACCTCTCATCCTCTCTGTCTGGCCGCCCTGGCCTCCTTGGGGATCCTCAGACTCTGCAGGCATGCCGGACTCACACGCTCTGCTGGAACCCCCTGCCCCAGAGCCCCAGGACTCCTTCTCCATCTCCTCCAGGCGTTTGCCTCCAGGTCCCTGGCCTCCCGATCTGCAATCACACCCCCACCCACAACCACTTCCCAGCCCCCTCCTTGCTCTATTTTTTTCTTTCGCACTTAGCACCATGTAACAGACGATATATTCTACTTATTTATCTGCTTATTGTCCACCTGCCCAGACTAGAATGTAAGCTGCATGAAGGCAGGCGTTTTGTCGGCTTTTTCGTTTCTGGATCTCCAGTATCTAGAACAGTACCCTCCAAGTAAATATGTGTTATATAAATGAATGAACTCTTTCTTTTCTGCCCTCACTGGGTTGTGGGCTGCATGCTAAGCACATCTCTTCAAAGCCAGGTTTCTGTCTCAAAAATCTTTTTGAAAATCACCCCCTTCCCACCTGCCCCATGCCCGGTGCTAGTATGGCGGCCCCCTCCCCCTCACAGTTGGCCCTCAAAATACTCATTGCTGAATGCTGAGGACTGGATCATATTTTTGGGGTCTTCCCAGGTTAAACCAAATGCCTGCACACTGATGGTCATCATTATTCGACACTGATGTTCATTTATAATTATAATTATTATCCGACAAGTAACGATCCACGACTGCTCTGTAATTCTGGCTGTGATTGCTGGCCTCCCGAGGGCTGAGCTGACTTGGGCCGTGTGTGCCTATTTTCAGAGGTTGCCCCCTGGGAACAGGAGTATGTAGGCTTTGCCAAGTGGCCGAGGCCCTCAACAATTTTCTCCCTCTCCACCGGTCTTCACTTAAATTGCTTATGGGAATAAGAGCAGAGGTGCTGGAAGGGGTTACTGTGCTGTCTGGAAGAATCTTCGAGTAGTTCTTCTAGCCCAGGGCCTGTCCAAGTGAGTTGGGGTGAGTAGAGCCAAGAGGGTGAAAATCAACAAGAGAATATGGTGCAGCCTCCAGCCCCCACAGTGTCTAAGAGCCGGGCCTCCCTGGCAGCTTCTTGAGCAGACTTGACCCCTGCACTCGAGCCTCCACCATGCCACGCGCCAGCTTTCTTCAGTGAATCTGCCCAGTCCTTCTCCACGGACCCCCAGGATTGGCGCTCAGAGCCCTCCAGAACTTGCCCCACCATGTGCCCAGCCTCCTGCCAGGCCCTGCATGCGCCCCTGCTTCTCACTGCTCCCTGGACACATCTGACACCGTAGTGCTTCTGGGCCTTTGCCTGGCTGATGGCAAGGCTGCCACTCACAGCAGGGCAGAGCAAGTCCCTCGGAGATGCCAGCCACATCTTTGCAACTGTCCTATGACCCCTGGACAGGACACCGTGACAGCTGGGGCCATATGACCTGAGTGCCCTGATGCCTGGATGCTGCCATTTTATGCAAATTGTTCTAGTTATTCCTCTAGCCAGGAAAACCAGGGGCCAACATGGTTAATTGATTTCAATCAAACACAAAGATTTTCTGGGGAGGAGGAGGCAGTGAGAGGGCAAGACAGGAACTGACCCTCGAAAGAACTTGGGGCATTACACATACAGCCACCACACAGCCCATGGAGTGCCCCTCCCCAGGGCTGCCCTCTCCTGCCCCTTCCATCTGTGGGTCTGCATCAGAGCAAGGAGAAGGGTGGGAATCAGCTCCCACGGAGACTGCTTCTCTAGTTGGAGATAAACCTTTGTCAGAGCTGAACCAAAAAGAATGCCCTTGGCACGGCAGAGCACAGGCGCTTCCAGGCAGGAGTTAAGCCAGCCTTCCACGCAGAGACACAATACTTCATGTCCAGTGCACACAGCTTTAGCCCAGCCAAAATGCAGTAGGGACACAAGCAACAAGAAAATTAATTAGAAGAGTTGCCAAAATACCCATTTTTCCTCTTTTTCCATTTGCTCCTTTTTCGCCTTTCGGGCCCTGGGGACCAGGCTGTCCATCTGACCCGTTGTGTCCTGGTAACCCGCCAATTCCCGGAGGTCCTGTGTGAAAACACAGAAATAGGTACATTTAAAAAAATCTTCACTGAAGTTAACGTGATTTCTTTTAGCCAATGAAACTGGGTAGGCATCAATGCATTTTCCAGATTCCCTCCTGCTTCTTCCCTTCCTTCTCCACCTTTACTGCCTGCACCTGAAGCAGTGACAGGTGGGAGGGGAATGGTGATGGCAGGTTCTCAGGTGGGAGGAGGCAGGAGAGCTCGTCACTGGGATAGAGGGAAGGACAGGCAAATAGTCGTAATTGGGCTGCCTCCAGACTCTTCCCCCTTCCCCACCTCAGTCCCTTCTGAGGGATCCTGGGGAGCCAGCCACCCATATCCTCCCTGCGAACTAAGAAAGTCCATGCGCTCTTACCTGGTGGGCCAGGTGGTCCTACAACAGAAAAAGAAATTTAGATGATAAACCCCGGGTGGAAGAAAACAAAGCCAGCACCCCAAAAGCCAAGAGCACCTTCCCCTCTCAAAATGTACTAACCATCTACTGGCCCTAAGAAGCCACCCCATGCCTTTTATTTATAACTTGGTATATCTGCCCCAAAGATCCTTTTGCAAATCAAAGAGCCATCTGCCAATCAAAACCACTTTTGCTTAAGTTTCAACGGACCAAGAATAATTTATGAGCTGCCTTCACTATAGATTCATAAATCAGTCAGCTCTCAAGCAATCAACTTAATTAAATGAGGCTTGGTGACAATGAGGGTGGGCACCAGTGCAGCCCTGGCACAGGGAACTCTCGGCAAATGGTAAGCACTGTCATTACGGGGCTGAGATCTGGCTGTCACAAGAGCAGTCCCAAGAGATCTCATCCAGCTGGCTTGTCTTCTCTAGGACACTGAGGAGAATTGAGAGCAGAAGCTGGGTCTCTGTTTTGTTGCATGAAATAGCCTGAGAAAAACTGAGGGCCCAGATCAGGTAACAAATACCTTCCTTACTGTGTAATTACCCAAGGATTTCAGGGGTTCAGATGAACCATTTACACATAATCCAACAAAACAATTTTGCTTCTGCAAATAGGAGAGTCTTATCATCAACGATTCTATTTCAGCACTCAGACAAGCCACTGAGGTTGTAATATGAGCAGATGAGTTGCTTTTGTTTTTCCAGACCACATATAATGATTGTCCATATAGAGTGGAAAGGTCTTTCCATAAATCCAAGCTTGTGACCTTTGATAAAAATCATCATTTACTAAGCAACTAAGTGCACCAAAATCTACCAAGAAGCAGAAATCTTGGCCCCTGTGTCTGTTGTGTTTACAACCTACCTGGGAAAGGTAGACACTTTGAAACCACAATGAAATGTGAGGGAGCTACAGAGAAGCCACCCCCAAAGCGGTGCTGGGGCAGTGTGGGCACACAGCAGTCTAAGGCCTCCAGAGACGGTGTGCCGTGAGCTGGGGCACTAAGGAAACAAGGGCCTGAGGTGGCTGCGGGGGTGAGGGCTGGGCATCCCAGGAGGGCACCAGCGGGAGCAAAGGCGAGCACATGCACGATTCAGGGTGAGAGAAAGGAAGAAGACCGGCCAAGCCGGTGTGCATAGAGATAAGACTGAGAAAGCACTTGATGCGGTGGATGTGGGGCAGAAGCACTGGAATGCCAAGCAGAGAGGTGTAGACGGTATCTGCGAGGCAGTAGGGAGCTATGGTAGATTCTTAAGCAGGGGGATGACACCGTGAAATCAGTGTGCATCTGAGATCCTCTCTGTAGATGGAAGTTGAACAGAACTAGGAAATGAGATGGGAGAGAGACAGAGGGTGCGGGAGAGGGGCCGTGGGGAGAAAATACCCAGAGAATCTTTGTAGTTAAAATTAGGGACAAGTTTGTGGATAAGTGTGGTTGGTGACTGTAGAGTTGTAGAGACAGCTAGAATTTCAAGAGGTATTTCAGCTGAAGAATGAGCAGACTCCACATCTGATTGGGTAGGAGGCGAAGAAGGAGGCCTCTCAGGTGGCTGGGAGCCTAGGATACTGACAGAGAGAGGCTACTTGACAGACACGGGGACTCTCAGGAGAACGTGTATTTGGGGATATGCTTTCAGTACATACAGTCCTACTTTGGGCAAACATGATTTGCTGAAAATGGCACCATATTTTCTAGGGTTGGTGTAGCCTGTAGCAACATGACTTCATTACCGGATGGCACGCATGCGTGCACACACACACACACACTGGTCAGGGGGTGATGTGGACAGTTGACAGAAGTCAGAAGAAATCAATCAATCATCATCCCCAACTCCAGATGGAGCCAAATTCAGATGTGCTGATTGGCCGATAAAAAGGCAAACGAGCAAGACTCACTGTATATGGAAGGTTTTGAGCGTTCTCAAGACAGTCCAATAACCATTTCTGTGCAGCAGGACTATTGGAGAGAGGTCCTGGCTGGCACTGTATATTTGGGACACATTAGCCATGGCCAAGGGTGTCCCTATAGTGAGGTGTGTAGATGAGAGTTTCCTGGCATTGACCTGAGGTCCACAGACAGGCTATGGCTACAGTTCTTAGTCACTTGATTCCATAGAATTATCTGGAATGCTTGTTAAAATGCAGATACCTGGGCCCCATCTGGAGATTCTAATTCAGTTTGGATTTAGAGTGAGGCCCAGGAACCTGCATTTTTACCAAACACCACAGATGATTGGGATGTAGATGGTCCTGGGTTCCCCTGACCTGATGTGAAAATTTTCTGGGGAAAGAATAAGTCACTATCAGCAGATCTTTAAAGGGGACCCTAAGAATGTTGAGAACTCCTAGTCTTGAGGCAAGAGTAAAATGTCTGGGCCAAATTTTGGGATGGAGAGAGAGAAGGGATATACCCCATTTGGAGGGAGGCACGCGATAGAAGAGGCACCAGGAAAGAGAGAGTGATCCGAAGACGTAGGAGGGAAGCCAGCAGGCCCTGCGTCCTGAAGCTAATGGAAAAGAGAATTTCAGAAGAGTTGACAGATGACAAAGGGTTTCAAAGAGCTCTAGAGTAATATAGCGATGCCAAGCCTCTGTTCCAATGTCCTCTCAGGATGCCAACTGAGCTGCCCAAGGGCCCCTTGTACTCGGAAGAAGCCTCAAATATGCATCATTGTAATAATGTCAAAGGTCAAATAGTATGTGCCAACGAGGTGTTTAGAAAACCGTATTTCAGCATATTTTCTCAGCTCCTGACCTTTCTTCTCTTCTTGAATAACAGACCCTCTAGGAATACGCATGGACTGTCATGTTCTTAGTAACACTGCATGCAGGGCTGCTTTCCTGGGCCTGCCACCAGTGCAGCTGACAGGACCCCACACTCAGAAATGGCTCCACACTTGGGTTTAATGCTCTGGGGTTACCTTCTAGAATTTCTTAATAATATTATGGTTGAATCTGTGTTTTGTAAATGAAGTCCAATGGGATGATGGAGCATGTTCCAGGAGGCTTGGAGCCTTGGTTCCTATGTGGTCCCGCCTCCAGTGCCTCCACTGCCTCCCCAGGACAGGTTTTCTGCCACCTGCTCCCTGCCCCCTGATGTGTCCTCCCCACCCCCTACCCCATCAGTGACCGCCGCCACCTTCCACCCCAGTGGGGGCCCAGGCGCAAGTGCAGGGAAGGCTATGGTTGGGTGCGTGCCCTGCGTGCCTGAGTCACAGGGTGAGGCCCCCTGTGCCTGAGAGGGTCTGTACTTGCTGGGTTAGTATCCCACACCTCGGGGAGTATGACATTAAATAGCAAACAAGAAGCCCACCATAGCAGGTGAAGAGCGAGACCTTGGAGGAAAGGAAAAAGCATTTTTCCTGCATTTTCATTGTGCACTGGGCCCTGCAAATGATGTTAGCTGGTTCTGTCTATCCCCACCCCACACTCCTAGCCAGAGTCGATTACAATTAGCTGGATGCTTGATAGGAGCTGAGCCACTTAGACTTTTTTCTTCTCCTTGAAATCTAAAATTGACCCACGATGCCCTAGTTATGTAAACTAGAGGTCTGCGGACGGCCATGCACAGTTAACAAACGCCAGCCTGCAGAGAGAAGGGAACAAAGTTGAGAGAAGCAGAGATGAGAGACAGGGTGTCCTCAGAGGGTCAGAAAGTCTCGGAGGGGAGGCGTGTGGGTTCCTGGGGGCTTTCCAGTTCCCGGTTCCAGCCCCCTGGGGTCCAGCTGCTGTCCCTGCCCTCTTGGTCTGTCTTGAGATACCCTTATGGTGAGGCAAGCTTTGTGTTCACCAAAGCCAGTTTTGTTGTCCCCTTCCTGGACTGACAGAAAGACTACATTTCCTAGCCTTCCTTGTGGTTAGGTCGGCTTCCTTGTGGTTAGGTTAGGGCAGTGTGAATGTCTGGGTTCTGCCAGTGGGATCCGCTGGGGAGATGGGAGATATTTCCAGGCCTGGCCTTTTAAAGCACCCCGTGCCATCCTTTGGACCTCTTTTCCCCTTGGGGGCAGCCTTGGTGCCTGGTGTTGAGATGATGGAGCCACAAGATGGCAGTAGCTTGGATCTTTTAGGCATCTATACTTCACTGGAATTTGTGGAGTGAGAAACAAGCCTTTGCTGTGTTAAGCCACTGAGATTTTATGGTTTAATTATTATCAGAGCATAAGCTTAACCTATGTTGACAAATACCTTCCTCTATCCTCATAATAATTTGTAACCCCCCGCTTCCCTTTTTTTTCTCAAATAGCTCTAGTGGGTTCCTGCTACCAGCAAACAGAAGAACCTTAAATGAGACAGGAAATACAGGCACTACAGTCACGGGAAATGAATAATAAAGAAGTATAAGGCTCACCTCCTGTCTTCAAGGGTGGGCACTGGCCAGTGGCTAACACTACAGGCCTCTGGAAAGCCTGGCTCCTCCCACCACCATTCTAGATCACAGGGGAAGACCATGTCTCTAATTTCCCTTTAGTCACCTCCCTTTTCACTCTGGGCTGGTGTCAGAACTGGTGTTGCCTGACCCAAGGCACCTGCTTAGAAGAGCAATGACTACACGGGAAGTGGCCATACATTTCCCAAAGTCTTGCTGATAGAGGGAAAAAAGAAGCCAAAAAACCCAAACAGAAACATTTCAGAAAGTGAAGTCTGGTTCTGCTGCATTAGAAAGAGCTAGTGAAAGATGAAACTTCATAAAGCCCATACTGCCATGCCTGAAGCACCTCCGAGGTCTGTAGTCCTGGATTCGCTCCCACTCCTACCCCTGCAAGGACTGCCTGGGGCTCTGGACTCATGCCCCCGGCCTCAGCTTCAGTGCCAGGCAGGAGCCCTGGCCAAAGAGGGTGTGGTCTCCCTTTCCCCTGGGAGTCAGGCATGCCTGGCTCTCCTTCAGGGATGGCCTGAGAGGGCCCAAGCTCTCAAACTTGGAGCCGGAATCTACCAGCACTAAAACAACTGGCTAGTTTGCTCAGCGACGCGAGTTGAGTGAAAACTGAAGAGCGGCCCTAGCTGTTTCTGAGAAGGGCCTGTCCATTGGTTTACCAAAGCTTGCACTGGCTATAGCTTTGAGGCCCCAGTTCCCACCCTATGTTTGCTGGTACATCCTCTGCAGCCGCCCCTGCCACTGAGCTATTGGGCCCGACCCAGGGCACCTGACTTGGAAAGGTATCTTTCCTCACATGGCCCCATTAAACTGCAGCTTTGGTCCAATCCCATTTATTTGGTGCATTTCAACTTTGGACTATGGCCATGGCAATCTTAAAAAAAGAGAGTAGGGATGGCAAATAGGTTTTATTTCAACTGCCAATTCTAATGAATTAGGACAGCTTTCTGGAACACCAGAAAAGAATGACATGAGGCCATGCTCAGCAGCAACTGTGATTCATTACTGATGTCTGCCTGGGTTTGAGATAAGGAGCAGTGACAAGTGCCCTCACTGGGTTGGAGTCACTGGGCTGCAAGGAGAGTGGGCACTGTGGCTTTGAAGTGCGTCTGCCGGAAAGCAGTTCAGCAACGTGATGCTTTAGAGATTTTCCAACAAGCCTGTATGCGGAGGCCTCTGGAAGTGAATACCCCAAGAACCTACCTTCTTCAAGACACCTGCTCTTCCAGAAGATATGCTTTTGGGGTCCCAAGGAAATCTGGGCTCAGGGGTAAGATGCATCCAGAAAACCATATGTTATTTGACAAACTCTGCACGAGCAAAACCTCCTACCTACTCTGGCTGGTGAATTGCCTTCACTATTTGCCTGAGATGTCACAGCCTGCACAAAACTACACAGCATCTGTCCTTGTCTCCATAGCAACCACAACTGAGTCCCGGAAAAGGAACGGGAATGGAGTCTCATGGTCACAGCTGGACTAGCCTCAAGTAACAAGTGCCAGCTTTTTCAAAGTGTGAAGCTAGATCTTGTTCTCAGGCCCCAAGCCCAGGGTCTGCCCTGGCAGCCCCTCCTGCAGGCATCTTCTTGGGGCTCTGGACCAAGGCTCTCTGTACCTCCCTCTGAAGTTGCTAATTCAGTCCCTGTCCTGTGCCCTCCCCTTCCCCAATACAGGCAGCCTGGTCTATCCCAAGGCACCACCTCACTTTGCAACTTGTACTTTTCCCACCTAAGTTTTAATTGAAGAGCTTTCTGTGTAAAAGGAGGCCCAATTTCAAGCTAGCATGAGAAGGTGCTGGCTTTTAAAAAGCATTTTGAGGTGCCAAAGAATAACCTCTTCAACCCATTTCCAGCTTGGATGCAATCCCCCGCCCCCCGTCAATCTCCCCTAAGTTGTCTCAATAGCTCCATCCTGCATTCACTGAACAGCCTGGCTCTCTTCCTATTACTATAAAAATCAAAAAGGAAGAGGTTTTTCCTGTGCCTCTCAACAGGGCTTTTGTGCCTCTAATTCCATCCATCTGAGCATTTCTCTAGCACTTATTACTGTCACATGCGGGAACTCTGAAAAGGGACCTCCAGAGATGGAAGAAAGATGCTTAAGCCACAAGAGTTTCAGAATAAAAGACTAAGCTGATCTGAAGATATTTAATTTCTCGTGAAGGCCGAAATGTGACTTGAGTAATTCAATCAGCATTTCCCAAGAAGCCACAGAATTACAGCTTTTCTCTCTGAGGCCAAATAAAGTGAACAAGAGTCAGACTTGGACTCAGGGTTCCTCAGGGAAGTGTCTTCCTTACCAGCCCAGCAGCCCTGTTTAATCACTTACATAAACCACAAGTTTAGTCATTCAACAAACTCACATTGTGCTCCTAATGCACAGCAGATAACGAGAGGCAGAGAAGGGTGAGGTTTCCTAGACTCGATACACACTGTGCAGGTTTCTCAACCTCCACCAGGGCAGCCCTGTCAAGCGAGACCTGGACCTCTCCAGAACCTGGGGCATAGACTGAGGAGGCCCAGCAAAAGCTTCAGATGGCTTCCAAGTCTGTGGTTATTTTTTAAAGCCCATGAGAGCTGTGTATTTACTCTATAATAAACTTTTAATGTAAAAATAATTTCTCCCCGTTTCCTCAGAACGCTACGCCCTTTTTGGAGAGGCAGGAAATGCAGTGTCTGAAATCAGGCTGTGTAGGCCCATCCTTGGGCCTGACTAGAGCCTGGGTGGTTGGGGGGAGCAATGAATTGGGAGACTGCTCTGGGGTCTGTGTTTTCCCTTGCCCCAGCTTCCGAAGGCTGGCCCCCCTTTCCTCAGGCGAGAGGCGGGACTCTGTCAGACTCAGGTATAGATAATCATATCAAAACCACTCCCCTCCTTCCCTGCCCCATCCATCAGCCCGCCTTGTCCCAAGGCTTCATGTGCCTCCTGGTTGATCCCCTCCCTCCTGTCATTTGTCCTCCATTCATTGTGTGGACGGGGGCAGAGTGTGACCAACCTCCATTCCCCCCCCAGCACATAGTAGGCACCACACAGAGCACTCTTCATAAAAAGTGTTTTCTTGACTAATTAGTGGTCTGCTTCTAGAGTTTCCCATTCATGCTGTATGCATGATGTAGGGAAATAATTACTTCTGGTAAGAGAACTCTACCACTTAGCAAGGTCTTTTTCCTTTCTTTGTTTTCCTTTTTAAAAACTAAAGGGAATAAGGAAAACATGTATGGCCCTGGTTCAAGGAACCACACGGTTCTACTTACCCAAGACCTAGTCATTTTCCATGGCTATATTTCTATGGCAATACTGAAAATACTATTTTTCATAATTATATTACAATTTATTTTTAGCCCATTAAAAACATCTGGTAAAAGTAAACCAACATGCATTTTTATAACCTAAAGTGTTCCTAAGTGTTCATTCTGCTCTGGCTCTTGGGCCAGCACACGTGTTGGGGCTGTGAGCAGCCCTTGGTCAGTGCAGGACAGCCTACCTGTCAGGCAGATACCCTTGGTGCTGTTGCACAGGTCCACCATCACTCGGATCTGCGTGGAGAGAGGATGGTTAATAGCTACACAATAGGCAGAGGGCCCTGAACTTGCCCTTTATTCAGACAAACAGAAAGCCAGTGTGAAAATTCACAAAGTAACTTCAGGAGAATATGCAAAAGTCCCAGGAAAAGTTTACGTAAAACTGAAAAGAAACTCTTAAAAGATCTAAAGATATATGTGTGTGTGTGTGTGTGTGTGTGTGCGCGCGCGTTTGTGTGAGGAAGATTGGCCCTGAGCTAACATCTGTTGCCAATCTTCCTCTTTTTGCTTTAGGAAGACTGTCCCTGAGCTAACATCCAAGCAAATCTTCCTCCACTTTGTATGTGGGACGCTGCCCCAGCATGGCTTGGTGAGCAATGTGTAGGTCCGTGCCAGGGATCCGAACCCACAAACACCGGGCCACCGAAGCGGAACACGTGAACTTAACCACTGTGCCACCAGGCCAACCCCCTAAGGATTTTTGATATTAGCAGCTCATCGATCAACCTCATCAGCAGAATCTCCTTGATTGCTATCAAACTCTGAGGAGGCAGAGGATGGGGGAGGAATCGCCAAATCCAAATTACAAGGTTGTAATGAGCCGGCCCCCCAGTGTCTGAAGGGCTCAATCTGTGGGTCTGAATAAAGAGGGTCGGTGCACTTAGTGGTCAGGAGCAAGCACTTACTAGCTGGGTGAGCGCAGGCAAGCTACTTAACCACTCAACACTTTGGTTTCCTCTGAAAATGGAGATATAGGCACCTGCCTGAGGGTTGAGCCAGCTTCATGTCTGGCACATGGAAACTGCCCCTAGAGGGTAGTGATTCTCATGCCGTCTGGACACTGCCTACTCACCACCGGATGGCCACCTGCAGTGGGTGGTCACTGCACCATGCTAGCAGCCTGATACCTGCTTCCCACACACCTACTTTACACCCTTCTCCCATCCATTCTCCACCCTGCTCCTAATGAGCTTCACAAAGACCAAGTCTGATGGGGTCAGCCCTGATTCAAACATTCTTGTGATTTCTTGTTGGTCTAAAGATAGAGCAAAATTCCTCCTTCTCTGGCCTCATTTCGTACCACTCTCCCCTCACTTTCTGTCCTCCACTTACACTCTGCCTCGGTTTGCTCATCTGTAAAATGGAGATATCAATAGTGCTTACTTTTGGGGATTGTTGTAAAGGGTAAGTGAAATTATTATATGTGAAGTTCTTAGAACAGTGCCTGGCATGGAGGAAGCAAGCACACACAACAGTGTTTTCCATTTTGTGGAGGCAGCAGAGAGTGTGGATGGAAGCATGGATTCTGAAGTCAAACTGCCCGTGTTCAAATCCTGGCTTTGCCATTCACAAGCAGTGTGACCTTGGGGGAATTACTGAACTTCTCTGTGCTTCAGTGTCCTCGTCTGTAGATGGAGCTAATAGCACCTACCTAATAGCGTGGGTATGTGGATTAAATGAGCAAATACATGCAACACACCTAGAATGGGGCCTGGCACATGATAAGCATGCTCTATTTATGCTATTGTTTTGATGGTTCCTTGAATGCTTCAGGAATGCCTTAGTTAATTTACTGATTTACCATCCAAGAAGCAGTTTTTAGACCCAAATAATATGGCATTTCAAAAGTGTGGAAGGAAAACATTATTGAGACAGCTGGAAGACATCTGGGGAAAAAACAAAAATCTGGAGCCCTACTTCACTCCTTACAGTAAACAAGTTAATAGTGACAGGGATCAACAATTTAAAAGTTAAAAACAAACTAGTACAAGTACTAGAGGAAAACTTGGGAAAAATGTTTATAATGGCATTAGAGCAGGAAAGATTTTTCTAAGAAAGAAACAGCCCCTATACTATAAATAAGAAGAATGTGATAAATTCGACTATCTAATAATTTAAAATTTCTGCAAGAGGTAAAATGCTACAAGCAATAACAAGGGAGAAACACAAACTTAGGAAAATAATTGCAAAGGGCTAGTATTTTAAGAGCTGTTATGAAGCACTAAGTAAAGGAACAAGAAGCCAAAAAGAAAAAAAAAAAACAAACAGGAAAAAAGGGCAATGGACCCAAACAGAAAGTTCAGAGAAAGACAAGAGTGACTCATCTTCACTTCTTGTTAAAGAAATAAACTCAAATGATGAAATACTGTTTTCACCTCTTGGGTTTGTCAGTAAAAAGGCTAACAGTCCATTTCACAAGGGTGTCAGGAAAGCAGCACGTTCATATCCTGTCCATGGAAGTGTATAGGGATACTGTCTCTTAGGAATGCATTTTGGCAATATCTACTAAAATTTAAATAGATCTACCTTTTGAGCCACCAATTACACTTTGGGTTTTATGCTACAGATACACTCATATATGTGTGAGAAGACATAAGTACAAAGATGTTTGTTGCAGAAGTGTGGGTGATGGGTTTCAGGGCAGGCCCCCCCAAGATGTGCCACTCTGGTGTGTGGATTATTTCAAGCTGAAGACAATAAAGGCTCAGAAGACTCTGAAAGAAACCTTGACCTCCCCCTCAACTAACTCCCTAAAAGGATTTAAGACAGAAGGCCTGTCCCCAGGACAGGCCATCACCATAGATAATTCTGGGTATCGATAGACTGGGAGGGTCCTTGCTAAGCCTATTGTTATCAAAGTTCTGTTTACCAAACATTTACATTTGTAAGGGAAATCTCCATTTGCAAAGATATCTCCCTCTCTGTACTGGGAAGAAGGGGGGATGACTTCATCTCTAGAAAATTATCAGTGCAGAAGGCGAGGCCTTAAATCTGCATAATAACCTTACTCTTGTTTACTGAGCTTTTCTGGTAATCTCCCACAACTGACTCCCCCTACCCCCAACATCCTCCTTTGTCTTTAGCTGAAGATAGTACTTAAGATGAGAACCTCTGCCATTTTGTCAAGTTACCCAGTTTTTCTAGGTCTGTCACTTGTATACATGTTATAAAGCTTTGTTTGATTTTCTCCTGCTATTCAATCTCATGTCAATTTAATTTGCAGCCCAGCCAGAAAGGACCCAGAGTGGGTAGAGGATAGTCTTACTCCCCTTCACGGGCAAGAGCAAAAACGAGAAACAACCTAAATATTTATCAGTGAGGTCTGGTTAGATAAAGTGTAGCATAGCCATACAATGAAATACTACAAAAAAGAATGAATTTAAATCCCTAAGGCTGACATTGAAAGATCTCCAGAATAAATGAAAAAAGACAAAGTACAGAGCAGCATGTATAAGGTACTTCCATTTAGGTATAAGGTACTTCCATTTATGTAAAAAAGCCGTGCACACACAAATGCTTCCATAGGCTTCTCTCTTGCTCCTTTCAAGATTCTCTCTTTGTCTTTGGCTCTATGGAATGTTTCTGGAGAGAAACCTAAAAAACCTCAAGTAAGGGGGAGTGGAGGGCCAGGGTGGGAGGGAGCGTACTAAGCACGATACGCCCTTTTGTTTTATTCAAAAATTGCACCAATTACTCTTTCAATTAAACTCTTTTTGAAAAGGACGTGTTTTGATTTGAGGGGAAAAATTGTTTTGTCTTCTATCTAGGTTTATTCTGTTTGCTAGGAGATCCAGAGGAAAACTTACACTGTATTTAGTTTTTGTCAAGTCTGTCAACAGGTAATTATTAACTGCTTTAGAAATTTATTGTGAAATATATCATATAGATCACAAATATATAAGATGTGTACAGACAATTAAAGATGAATGATAAAACAAACACGTATATACCACTCCCCAGTCAAAGAACTGGAAACTCAGCAACGCCTTGGAACATCCCAGGTGCCCCTCCCCATAACACACCGGTCCCTCCCCGCCCCAACAACTCTGAGCCTAAGGGTATTGGACAGCCGTGCCCTCCACTTCATAGAGATAAGAACTTAGAGGCTTAGGGTGGTGACGTCATTTACTGAAGATCACACGCTTGCTCATAGAAGAGCCAGGCTCGACTCCAGGATCCTAGATTCCAGGTCTACTGCACTTTCTATTATGGCTCTGGTGATGATCTTAATGTAACCAGACAGAAAAAATTTTGATTTACTGTTTTTAGTCATTTTCTTAAATGAATGTAATCAGCTTCACTACAGACAAAATTTATTGTCTTAAGAAATGTATAATTGCCCATTGAGAGGACCATTACGGACTTGACAATACTTCATTTGTTGCCTGGGGAATCACAGCAGAAAGCGTAGTTTGAAACAACAGAAGCATCAATAGGAAAATTAGCCTTTCTCTTTCATACTCATCACTGGTCTGGGGTAGGCACAGATTCTGTAGAAAACAGTGAAGAAGGAGTTTTCATTTCCTGATCTTTTGGCTGCAGTTATAGGCTAAAAGTCAATTTAGATATTTACCAGTAAGTTGTATTGATCTTCACTTGGCAATATTCTTTTAACAAACTTGGGCTATATAAGATTGTTATCAAGGTGAAACATACGGTATGAAAAGGTGTGGCCATAACAAAGTCAGAAACTTTTTTTTTCCTAATAATAATGATTAAGAATTTGGATGAAAAGAAGAAAATTCAAAATTGAAAATCACAAAATCGAGATTGTTAAATTAAGGAGTCACATTTGGCATAGAGGGCTTTCTAAATCTTGATTTAAGATGTGAGAACGTTGAAGACGCTTTAGAGCTCATTGTCCTGGGGGTGTCAGGATGGATCCATCCATGACGTGGCCTTTCCCCCTCAAGGCCACCTTCCACCCCTCTCTCCCGTCACTCTGCTCCAGTCATGCTGGCCGTCATCACAGGTCTTTGCTGAGCATTTTTGGTGTACCTACATCTTCACTGAGGCCTCAGCTCAAATGTCACCTCATCAGGAAGGCTTTCTGACTCCCCAGCTGAAAGTAGTCACCTCACCTGGCATTTTTGTCTTTGTGACACTTATCATTATCCAATGTTATCTTGCTTATGTATGCATTTATTTATTACCTGCCCCCGCTTCCCAAAGAATGGAAGCATTTTGAGAGCAGAACTTGCTCTCTATTTTGTCTGTATCCACCGTGCATAGAA